AACTTTACTCTTTAAATGACAACTGAGGGTGAGGAATAAGCATTGCTGTCAGCATTGCAGACTCTAGGTCTGCAGAAAAGTCTCTTGCCGTCTTTATCACCTTTATGTCCTCAGAATGCTACAAAAGTGGATGCCTTTGTTGAGGCTGCTGGGATTGAGCAGTCCGGCTGACAGGGCATGTGCATACGCGTTCACCGCCGCAATGCGGACGACACGGAATGGTAGTTTTTTTGTTTACTTGGAGTATTTTGGTTGGTTTCGAGTTTGGCAAGACATTAGGTTGACTAAAACCTATCTGAAAATTGGATTACCCACTCAGGGAACTGAAGAAGAGCGCTTTATGGAATGATAGAGGAGGAGGCATGATGAAAACGCCTTCTAGAACATTGCATTCTGTGTGCATTTTGAGGTTGGGATCATCTTTGGCAGTCTCTAGAGTAAGCCAATATTGCTGCGATAATCGACAGCAATACGGGTGGTTGGAACAGTTACCACTTTGCTTCAATGTGACATGCTACTTATAAGCTCTTCAGCGACGACAAAAACTCATTTGTAATATTACACTAATAAAGATGTTTATGATTCTCCTTTCCCCTCTTCCTCGCATAGTCCTGTCTCGTGATGGATCCAAACGCTAGAAGCACTTGCAGTGCCCTACTTCAGCTCCTCTACTTTGAAAAGGTCCGGAATCCCGATTCCGCAACAAAAGTTCCCTCCTTGCAAGTTGATGTACCTGATGAAGCGCCTGTTCAACGACCCCTGTCCAATGAGATCACACCATCAGTCATCTGCCTCGACGGTTTGTCATTGCAAAATCCGAGTGGAAGGGGTAAAAGGAGTGAGAAAGCTGCTGGACAAATGAGCGATCCCCAGTCCACTGTGACAGAGTCCCACGACCGAAATCCGCCTACCCATCACACCTTTGTGCGAGCCGATCAACGTAAACTTACTGGCAGTACGTACTCCTTAGCCAATAAAGGAGCTGCTATGAAGTTTCAACCGGCAGTAAGTCAAGCCCCCTTGTTCCCGCCATTCTAACCTCATTTTGTGGCGTCAAGTTTAGTTGCGGGGACAAATAAAGCAGCGAGATTTTGCCGTACACAATGGAAATTGCAGCTTGCCTTGGTCATTCCTTCTTCATTAAACTTTGCAGCAAGATAATAAACGAGAATGATTATTTCGCGTACAGCTTTGTGTTGATTGGGTGTTCCCAGCAGGAGGTAGATAATCCCTTGCCCATGGAACATAAAATGCCTCTCAACGTCGCCTAGGTGGAAAACATTTACATTTTGAAATGTTCAAAACATATATATATATATGAATTTTTCTCCTCTTTCCCTTTAAAGGCATTCCCATGGCTCGGTGGAAGTTGCGCTCAATTGAACCGACGTTCAGGTGGTGATCCAAGACACAATCCATCACCTAACCTTGCTACAGTCAATCCTCGACCCGATTTACAATCCACTCAACTATTGCCACGTTTTCAGGGCTCAACATTAACAAATGCAGGTATGCCTTTGCGAGGTGGTGCTCTGACTCCTGCATGGTCGACAGTTCATCGCACTCCCAGTGCCGGCCCGAAGCACTGACACTTTTCCCTCTCTTCAGCATTCCACTCCCCTTCCACCCTTTTCATTGCTGTCGCCGTGAAATCCATGCACTCCAAAGCATCTCCTAGT